GGGGGGGCTCCTGTGAATTGCGGCTTTCGGGGGGGGGCTTCTGCAGGGGGCGGCCCTGCCTCCTGAAACCTCAGTTCTCCCGGGGGGATCCAAGGGGACTCCGGACTCCTCTGGCCGGGTGACAGGGATAGGACTCTTCTAGGCTCGGCCAGGAGACTCGGGTTCAAAACCTGCCGCTGAGGGAAGCGGGTGTGCTTAGCCTAATGGAGAGAAGGCTCGGAGGGGTTAGCCGACTTCCCACACTGGAGGGGCCGCCAGAGGGAAGCGGGCGTGGAGTTATTCTCCGTGGCACCTGCGGGCAGGGCCGGGAGCAGCGGGCGGAAGCTCACCAGAGGGAGATTCGGCCAGGAGGGACCACCAGAGCAATTCATCCAGGGAAGGAGCTTCCCACCATCACTGGAGGCCTTTTCAGGAGGAGATGGGACAACCCTTTGCCCAGGAGGGGGTGACGACTCCCCTGCCTTCGGCGGGGGGCTGGACTAGAAGGCCTCCGAGGTCCCTTCCGGGCCCGTCTGCGACTCCACGCCTTCTCCTGCCCTCCGTCCCTCTGCAGGACAATCCCTTCCGCCAGCGCATCGCCGAGGTCTTCTCCGAGGACGGGGAGGGCAACATGACCTTGGACGACTTCTTGGACATGTTCTCGGTGATGAGCGAAATGGCCCCGCGTGACCTCAAGGCCTACTACGCCTTCCGAATCTACGGTGAGCGGGCGGGAGGGGGCGGAGGGCGGGGAGGGTGCCCGGAGGATGCTGCAGGCTGCTCAGAGGGAGGCCAGGAGCGGAGCGGGAGCCGCTGCCTTGTCCCTCCTCATCGGCACCACCAAGGACACCGAGGCCTCCAGCCAGGCGCTCTGGGCCAATGAGCTGGAACTCCCGGAGCCCCTCCCGTTGCCAAGCTGTCCCAAAAGGAGGGTCCCTGGCAGACACCTGCAGCAGAGGGGGGAAATGGGGGGGGAAATGGGGGGGAAGCTGGCCGAGGGTCCGAGGGGCAGCACCGAGCATGGTTCCTAAGCCAGGAGCCGCTGAGGGTCCGAGTCTGGACCTGGGGGGGGCTCCGTCTTCCAGACGAAAGAGGCCCTCCCTCCCTCCTCCATGGCCAGGGAGGGAGCAGCTGAGGGCCGGCACGGAGAGCCCCCCCTCTCCGGCCAGCGCTGAGCCTCTGCCGGGCCTCCCTTGGCAGACTTCAACGATGACCGCTACATCTGCAAGTCCGACCTGGAGAAGACGGTCAACAAGCTGACCCGCAGAGAGCTGACCCCGGAGGAGGTCAGCCTGGTGTGCCACAAGGTGATGGATGAGGCCGACCTGGACAACGACGGGAAACTCTCCCTGGAAGACTTCCAGCACATGATCGTCAGAGCGCCCGACTTCCTCAGGTAGGGAGGCCACCCCCACCCCCCCCGCCGGCCTGTTCTTCTCTCTCTGTGCCATTCCCTCCCTCTCCCTCTCCCCCCTCCCCGTTGAGTGGGAGCCCTCCCTTCAAGCCAGCTGGGAAACTCGGCATGGCTGGGCTTTGGAGAACCACCGCCCAGAGACCCCTGAAGAATTTGGCTCAGGGGGGAGCCTCGAGGGCCCCCGAAATAACCAGTGCCGGCTGAGCCAAACCACTTCTGGCGGGCAAAAGGGTCGTGGCCAACCGTCCCCTCCCCCCCCCCATCTTCCTTATCTTCTTCTGTGCAGAAGGCCATCCAGCAAGACCCTTGGATCCCCCTGGGGTGGGGTGGGGTGGGGGGCTCCCTCTGAAGAGGCCGGGGGCTAAAGGGGGCGGGCGGGGGAGGCGAAGCCCAGAGGACTGGAAGTCGCCAAGCCTGGCAAAAAAGCCTGCTGGACTGAAGCCACAAAGAAGAGGGAGTCAAGCTATTCTCCAAAGCGCCTGAAGGCAGGACAAGAAGCAATGGATGGAAACTCATCAAGGAGAGAAGCAACCTGGAACTAAGGAGAAACTTCCTGACAGAACAATTAACCAGTGGAACTACCTGCCTCCAGAAGTGGTGAATGCTCCAACACTGGAAGTTTTTAAGAAGAAACTGGACAGCCATTTGTCCGAAATGGTTTAGGGTTTCCTGCCTGAGCAGGGGGTTGGACTAGAAGACCTCCAAGGTCCC